TCCAGGAGCGCCCCAGCCACGTTCGATCGGGAGTAGCCGAATTCCCCGGAGCGGGCAGACACCGCCCACGCGGGGACTCGCCGGGATCAGACGCGCTGGCCGAGCCGGGCGGACCCCGCTCCCAAGGGGAGACGCGAACCCGTGACGCCCACGAGTGACCCGCGCGGCTGCCTGTGCGCGGCCTCGGCTCTGCTCGCAGCCGCGGCGCCTCGGGTCAGCGGGGGTAGGAAAGCGGGGCCACCGGGGAGGGGCCGCCCCGTGAGGGCGGTGGTAGCGGAGCCCCCCGGGCGGACAGTCCCCTCAGCCCCCACCAGGGCCGCGGCTCCTCACCGTCCCGGCGCTGGATCCGGGCTGGGTCCCAGGAGGCCGGCTCGCGCCGCCGCCAGCCCCCGTCGCCATGGTGGTCGCTGGCGGAGCCCCACCCCGTCATTTGCATACTCGCGGGTCATGAATAATTAACCAGCCGCCGTCTCACCTGATCGTCCTTGACACACAGATCCGAAAGCGAGGCGGCCTATTCGCTTGCACGGCGGAGTCCCGCCCCCGCCCCCTCAAACCAATGTCTATTGGCTGCTGTGGGACAAACAAGCCAATCCCAGATGACCAATGTCTTTCACCCGGAAATAGAGAGGCAACGTCCTCATCACCCCTTCTGGAAAGCCGGGGGCAGGGAAAGACTACCGGACTATCTTCCTGGTGCGGCTGTCTCTGGGGTGTCCCCCACGCCTTTCCCGGGCTGGGACATGTGCGTTCCTCCTACGGGACAGCAGGTGGCGCTGCGGGCCCTGCCTGTGGCTGGCTCCTCCCCACCCCTGCCTCGGGGCTGCACGTGGGGGAGGTGAGAAGGGGCGGGGCAGTTCGCACACGGGGGCGCTACAGGCTGGTTCCTGTCTGCTGCTTGCGGAGCACCTAACGCAGCCAGGCACTGTTGAGGTAGGGTTACCATATCTCATAAATAAAAAAAGAGGACTCTCCACGGGCCCTGGCCACGCCCATTTCCCCCCACCCCTAGCCCCGCCCCAACTCCACCCCTTCCCCACCCTAACTCCG